CTTCACAATTTAATTCACAATTTTAAATAACACACTTCTTTCACATACATAATTTACCTACATACATAACTTATTAGGATCATTTTTGATAATAATTAAATAGTTCTTAAGTAGCGTAGAGAATTATATATATATATATTATATTATATATATATTATATACGTATGTATTAAATTAAACGCTTATATCGAGAATAATTTATCAAGTGAATCACTACAGTTTGTATGACTTACGCACGTGTAAGCTCTCATTGCCCACCGCTCACATGGAAGTTTAATACACGTACAATTTTCTCGCCCCTAACTCCCTCGCGGTTTACGCACTCTATTCTCGTTCCAGTAATTTCTATAATTACGAATAAAAACGACTTATATAATACTTAACAAGTATTAGAGTTCCACGCAATCATCGGCTTCTCACTCGTGATTTTTGCATCTAGTCGGCTCATACTATTTGATTCCTCTTGCATCGTTTTACTGCGTCAATTCCACGGTTGCGATAATCATAAGAATTCCCGGGAAATCAATACATACTGCACCCTTTACTCCGAACAGCGATACATGTTGTACCGAACTATGTAATCCGTTTGATTGCATACAATATAGATGTATTGTTAAGACCTAACGAAGATCACCGACTCTCGTCCACAGCGAGTATGAATCGTGAAATAGTTTCTGTCCTTTATTTGGAATAATCTTAGAAGGTGTGCGCGTTACGGCAAATGCCACAACCTAACGCGAACTCTTCTCCGGTCGGCGGATGTTTCACGTGTAATGGGCATTCATCCCCGTCCAGTTGCTTTGCTTGAGGTCCTATTTTAAAAGAAACGAACAGTTGTAAAAACGGAAGCTTGGTGGTGTACAAACAGTATATCCTAGATATTTAATAATGACAACTTTATTCCTTCTTATAGTTACTCCACCCATTCAACCCTTGATATCGTGGACATTACTTAAAGTCAACAAATCAACTCACACGATGTGTACAGGAAAAGATCTTCAAGGGTAAATAAGCTTACCAGCAGGACAAGAAGGTAGCTTGTTTTTCGGAATGACAATGACGCGTTGAAAGTCCTCGTGGCATGGGTTGCAGAAGTGGGTGGTGCCGAAACAGAAGAATACAGCCACCGAGCAACAATAACGACATTTATATTCTAAGAAATCTGCCGCGTGCTTCGGGCACATCTGAGCCCTTGCCACATCGCTGCAGCCTCCGCACACCAACTCCGTGGGATCGAACGTTTCACCACCTACTTGCGCGTCACACCGCGCTTCACCACCGTAGTAGGCCTTTTGACACTTGTAGCAAACGTAATACGCGTATCGTTCCATCGCGTACGCAGCAGGATCTTGGAATCTCGCACCTGGACCGAACGCTGCTTCCGTCCTGTAACAGATTATTCATTGTTAACACAAAATCTAGAGGAATCATTATCTAGAATTCAGCATTCTCAAACGATCGAAGTGCAACCGAAATGTTACACCACACTGAACGATACTCTATCCTGACGCTTACTTGTACAGCCCTTCATACTCGAGTCGCATCAAAGCCTTCCTCCTAACGTCTTCGTAAAGCTCCTTGATGCTCGTCAATTCCTCGGATAAGGTGGGATGTTCCATGGGTATCTTGCAAATCGGACAAAGCGAGAACCCAAAAGTAATCCTCGGGCCCACCCATCGCTTCATTAACACATGCTTGCAGCAATGCAAATGGAACACATGGCCGCATTGCAACTGAATCGCTGGTGCAGCCGACAAAGCTTCTGTGAAGCAAATCATGCACATGTCGTCGGCGTCCTGCTTCAAGTCGCTGTCCGACAGACACCTGTGCAGACAGGGTAGGCAGTTCTTCTCGTTGCGAACGCCGCCACAGATGTGGCCGCAATTATGAACCTTGCTGCACGCGTTTTTCGCGTGTTCCTGGCAATCATTATCCGTGCAGATATTCCCTATCGCCAGCAAGCCAGTGTTCCCAGTGATGCCACAGAATCTGCATATCCCCGATGTAGCTCCGACTGGTTTCCTCGGTGTGCCATCGCGGAACTCGACCAGTGCCTTTAACGTCCTGCTGTCAGCGAGAGCCAGGATCCAGAACAGCTTCGTTCGGCCGCATCCTTCGTGGAGATCGACGCGTATAGCTTCTTCCTCTTCTTTGCACACCTGTCTGAGGTGCATACGAGCTTTCCTGTGCAAGTGCAAGATCCTATCGCACTCTCCGCACAGATTTCCGCAGTCGTTGCACTGGATGATCGCTGTTGTTTCGCCATCGTCGTGGTTGCTACATGTTGGCTATAGGAAATATTTAGTGTTTAGTACATGAAAGTGTGGATAGTAAATGTGATTCATCGTAGAAGTTGTATAGTCTTACTCGAGGTGGGGGTGGTTGACCCTCGGCGCCACTCCATTGGCCAGAGGACAGTCTTTCCACGTGATCAGAGTCCAAGACACATAAGGAGGAAAGAGCTAGCCATAATGTTGGAGTCCGGAGACATTCGGCAGGATCACGGCTGGTCTCGTCTAATCTGGTTAGGTTCAGGATATTTTCTGCGATTGCTGCTTTTGTCACGGATGCCCATTCTTCCGATAGTTTGCCCTGATGCAACGACAGTAATTGAGGAAGTCAATAACCGATGATAAAAACATCAGTTCAATTTGAACAGACACTTACCGACGCCATGTCCTTCAGAAGTTGAATGATCACTTCAGCCAACTTTCGAGTCATGTGTCCTCTCAACCACCATCTTGCTCCAACGTTGCGCTTTGGATGGATACTGGTAGCAAGTGAAACAGTCTGCAAAGCTTTGCCATTGTTCTCTTTCCCTTTCACTTTCACCTGAACCGTCAACGCTTTCGCGATGCAACTTAGGAAAACGTCCAGTATTCCCGGTGCGTTTTCATCGAAATTTGCGTTGTGAGTGGAACTATTGTTCGCTACGGAGACGATGCTGAAGTCCGTGGGTGGCAGCCGATCGACACTGGTCACGTTGGCTAGCACTTCGGGTTTAATTTCGGGTAAAATTCGCTTTAATAAAGCTGTCACCTAAACCATTGGAAGAAAGACATTTTTCATAGTTGCACTGATAAAATAAGCTGCGTAAGTTTCAGAGGAATGAGATGCATACTTGACGTTGCACTCTGGCTGATCCGGTGTGTAATAAACTTAATAAATCAGTTAATAATCCGTACTGGTGCGACAGATAGTACTGTCCAACGGCGCTGCCACTTAGAGCTAGAACCATAGACAACATTTCGAAGCAATACGTGTCAGCCGCCTTTGACACGTCACTGTTGTCGCTTAGTAGGCTGTTAGTAGGTGTTGGCGAATACAACAGGGCCTCCCATTCTTCCCTTAATCGAACCGTTTCCTTGCGAATTGCTTGGACGATATGTGTACAGACTTGTTTTTGCAAATGCGTCAGGTTGTTTCGACTGAACAGAATTCCAACCATATGCTCCCGAAGATCATTACTGTCCTCTGCGTCCTCATTAGCGCCTTCAGTAGCTTCCATTTGTTGATGTTGTTGGTCTCCTTGTATAAGTTTTCCAAATACCTGATAAATCAAAATGAATTGTTGAAGCTCGTAAGATCACGAAAGAAAATCAACGAACAATTTACCTGGGAAGTAATTAATCGAAAAACTTTCAACGTCTCCGCTTCGCAGTTTCTTTGCTGAATCTTTTGTGCATTCAACTGTTTCCCAATTTTCAATGATTCCCCTTCTATCTCGCCCAAGATTCTAATTTGCCGGACTCGCAGAGAATTGTCTGCGCCTTTCAATTCGAGACCAACCGCGACATGCCTTGTATCTGTGGGGAAGATGGTATTAGTATTCTTCAAGATACATGATACATTAAAAACAAATACTTTCGTAAATTACCGGTAATTGGACAATTGATCCAACCAGCGGAACGGCTCTCGATCTCCACGGTTCTTAGTTTCACCATTTCGTCGACGGTAGCGCCCGATTGAAATGTTACAGTGGATACCTTGTGCTGCGAGACAGATGTGATAAACATGAAAGTGTCGCAGTGAAAGTGGAACGTAACTTAATCGTACAACTTACCGTTAAATCACGACAATTATCGATATGAATGTACACCATTCGCGGAAGAGAATTAGGGCCACAGCTGATACTGATCGTCTTCGTCTTATTGCGGTCCTCGTCGCCGGACTCCCAAAATGTTTCCGTTGAATTGTCGGTCAAGTTGCCGATCATAGCCTGTCTACTCGAAGCTTTGATTTTGATACCAGGCGTCAGGTCCTTCAGCACTTCCACGGAGCTAGTTATTTGCGAATGGACCGACTGGTGACTTTCGTGCATACTCATCGCGACATCCTTGTCCTCTTCGTATCTTGAGAGGATTTTGCTAATGTTGCTGAAAACATGACTTCGATGGAGGAACATGTGATCCGCGGGGGTGAACTTAATTCCCCAGCATCGGATGGCAGCTTGCTGCAGCGGCGATCCTGAAAGTGAATGCACGAAGTTGTTTCATTTTCTTATGATCACTGAATATAAGTCACTGTTAGATACTTACCAAGGGGTGGTAACAGCATCAAGTCAGAAATAGTTTGTAACAAAGTGTGGAACACCGTTGGCAACGGATTGACAGACTCGCCTGCTATTAGCAGATCACTTAGGGGATGTTCGCACACGTCAACCATGTCCTTAAAAGTTCAAATGACAGTATAATACACTTTTTACTGTTGCATTTCGCATTATTATACTTACATGTTCATCCCTTTTCTCAACTCGATTCTCCTCGTCAGTGGAATCCGCGGATTCTGGTGGGACTGCTGATGTCAGTGAAGCAGAGAACCACCAGAGCAAGTCATGTAAACATATCGGTTGAGTTACGCTTCTCAGCAGCCAGTTCAACGCTTGCATAGCGTACACGCGGCAAGCAGCACGACGTAACGCTTGCTTCATGGCAAGCTGTAGGTGCGGCAAGTTATGTTGCTGAAGAACGAACAACATCACAGGTCGCATCAGAATTTCTATTCTATCGTTATTCGCTGCTTCCGTTTGACTAGAGGATACGATTGCCGATTGGTCCATCGACGGTACCAATTTCTGAAGAGCCGCGGATGGATAGCATAGTAGGGAAGAACCGCCATCTATAAGCGAGCAATATTTCGTTGATTTCAAATGAAACAAAAATATAATAGCTACAAATGTTTCTAATGCAAAACAGTGTACATACTGTTATTCATCTCACTGCTGCTGTTATTCCTCTTGCGTGTGATAACGACTCTACCATCGTTAGTGTTCCTAGTCCAGGAAGCTCCGGTAGACATAGACACCGACCGATGGAACATACCTCGACCTTTGCCACTATCACTGTCGCTGTCGCTCATAGGATACTCGGACAAAGGCTGCAAGCAGGTCCACGCTATCAATAGGAACTAAGCAATGCATACTAATTTCTTACCCTTCCATTCGTACTGTTGAACATGGCGCTATGCCCGTCACAAAAGTTCTGGTGTCCATTCTGTCGCCTCAGTGCTTCCTCGTAGTACCTCTCATCGTGACTCTGCGAATGACGAACCCCCAGAGCCTGCAGACATTGGAAAGGACCTGTAGGAGGGAATGGCCCGGCTGACTCCGGAGGACTGTAATTCTCAGCCACCGAAGACAACGTCTGCGAAGGTCGCCGTTGTTGTTTTGGAATGTTCAATCCGGAAGCGCTGGCCAGTTCTAACAGGAACACAGCATTGTTCTTCATGACAACGTGCGTCTCGTTGCCGTTCGGACTAGTAATTGGCGACAGGACTTTCCCGGAGCCGTTCTTCCTCTTCGTTATCCCTGTCAAGAATTTCTTGGCCAGCTTCAGCTTCCGCGCTTTCAGATACATATCGCGACACTTATCACAGATGAGGTACCACGAGCTTCCGCCCACTCCGCCATCGCCGCAGTTTCCCGCCCAGCCTATGCAGTAGGTCCCGCCGCTGTTGTAACCTTTCCCTCCCGCGTGCCAACCGCAGCCAGGGTGCATCATCTTCATGTGATAAGTCACTGGATGTGGGAACATCAGACCGCAAAGCTCGCAAATCGTCTCCCGCTCTATCCCGGCCAATCCTTCGGACGCCATTCCTCTGCCGATCGGCTTCCACTCTTTCTTCTTGCTGCTCCCCTTTTTATCGCGTTCCTTCAGCTTCTCCTCGCGGGGTCGTTTCTCGGGTACCGATCGCTTGCTGACCTTCACCGTCTGAATCTGCGATATAGGGCTGGGCAGGACCGACTGCTGCTCTATGGCCTGCATGCAATTAGTGCTCAGCTCTTCCCAGAGGAACACCAGGCTCTTAAGAGCCGGAGGCAACACGGCCACCGTTTGGAACTCGGGAACAGCGCCTAGCTTTCCATTCGCTTGGGCCTCTTCCTTGGCGCCGGCGTCCTGCTTCTTCCGATTTCTGTTGGCGTTGGCGTTCGCGGCTGATCGCGTCAGAGTCTCCAAAGTACTCGGCTGAATGTGCAAATAGCTCCCGGCGTTGGTCACCTCGACGGAGTGTCTTTGTCTGGCCTTCTGCTCTTGCTCCTCCTTGTCGTTGAACTGCACCACCGACTGCCTGGTCACAACGAGGGCGCCTTGCTTCGGCAAACTGGGGTGGAACTTGAGGAAGCTGGCGCAGGCCATCGCGTCGTGCACGATCCCCTCGTGCCATAAGAACGCCGCGAACACGGCTCTCAGACACTCCGCCACAGATGGACTGACGGCTTCCTTCACTTTCTCCTTGCTCAGGTTCAATGTCCTGCTCGGCGTCGAACTCTGCTGCGAGCTCGCTGGGGACATTGCTCTCTTCGCTCTCGTTTTTACCACTTTCGCGTGATCCCTCCGGCTCATCTTCGGCGAATGGCGCTCCTCTTTCAGACCCGTGGAGCCGATGCTGAAGTGGAACGAGATGTTCGTCTGCGTTTGCGCCTGAGACACTTTCCGCGGACTTTTCTGGGAGTCCTTCGAAAAGAAGACGACTGTTATCGTTTGCCTCCGCTCGGGTTTGTTTGTCGGGGGATGGTGTTACACTTACATCTTTCTTCGGTGTTTCAGGCGGACTAGCTATACTATCCTCGGATCTTATTTGTAAAGAACTACAACTCGGGCTCGGAGACAGGTCACGGGTGTTGGCAGTTGTGCTGATAGCACTGGGCGATTGCGATGGATCCCTCGTTAGACTACTGACCAAGGCACTTGTGTCGCTTTGCGTTGATCCCCGTCGCTGGGATGTGGCGCTGTCCATCATGCCACCAGAAACTTTAAAGAGACAGTGGTAAGGTGCGGTTAGAATCATGATTCTTCCCTCTCTAGAGTCTATTTACTCTGTTGTTTCTAGGGCAAGGATATTGATACCTTGCCTTGCTTCTTACAATGAATGGGCTCAGAAAAATGAATAACAATGTGTTTTGTGTAGACTGCGGACGTTTATGCAGATATAGATTCTTGCGTAATAATCTAGGTGTAAAATATATACTACAAATGCATAAAATCCGTAATCCTCTGATCACATCCGTGCAGTCTCGTGCGATTTTATCGTGATTGTATGAGACAATGATGAAAAACGTGTTACATGTTGGCGAATTTATAATTTACATTATGATTAACTTGCTGATCGTTATGTTGCAGTAATATAATTATGTTAGTGTAGAGTCGAAGAGTATAAATGTATGGTCTTACCTAATGGGGAGAGGCCGACACTTCGGGGGGAGCCGCATAGCACAGGGCTGCTGCTGATACTATCTCCCCCTCCTATCAAACTTCTCCCACCTGATAATGTTGCATCAGTTGTAGAATTTATATGTGACGTGTCATCGTTTATCAATATTCTAACGTTACTGTCTGTACACACAATTTTTACATGTACCTACTATTTAAACGTCTAATTAGAGAAAGATGATATATATATATATATATATATATATTTATATGTATATGTGTGTGTATTGTGCGTGCATAAACTCGTGTATATCGAGGTACTATTTATTCGCATGCAGTTGGGGTCATCGACGGGTATCTACGGTGCCATTGCATTCTCGAAGAAAAACGTAATCGTGGTGTGACGTGAGACAAATTATTCCGTGGCAACGCAACAAAAAACGTCTATACACTATTCCCGGCTTGTCGTATAAACTGAGGGCTTATGTCGATTAGGAAAGGATCGAGTACCTGGTGCATGAGCAGCAGGAGGGAAGAGGCAATTACCAGAACCAACTGGCTGCCGACTGGACCCAGCTAAGAGCAACATTTACTAAACTGTTATAACTAATCCCATTAAGTCTGTTTTACAATTAAATTCATAAATTCTACGGTCATTCGTTTCTGAAGGTAACTAGGATAAATAGAATACTGAAAGAACGAGCCAGAGTGGCTTTTACGATCAAACGTTTACGGACACGGTGTTACTCTAAAAAGATAATTCATTCCACGGAATAGGAGAAACTGGTCCGTGGAACGGTATACGGTCTTACAAGTGTCAGTAACGGGTCTCTCAGCTTCTGAAACGATTCCCTCTCCACAGACCGGTTACGGTGCCGAAAGTGTGAAGTCAAGACACACACATGAATGTTATGAGATTAGAGATGAGACCATATAGAACGAACACGATCGAAAGAGACTCTCGCGCAACGATATATTACTATTTCTTTCAATTGATCTGTTTACGAGCGACGTTATACGTACCGGGTATCTGTACCGGGCTAGAGGACGGGCTCTGAAATCTTGGTGACCCACCTTGGGGATTCTTCGGCGACGAGCTTCTCGACAGTCTCCGCGGTGTTTCCGGCGGCGTGGGCCCGTTGCCGTTCGCCCGGCTCTCGCCGATCACTTTGACCAGCTCTTTCACCGAGACGCCGACGAACTCCGAAAAATCTCTGCAGATGCCAAAACTATATGACGAAACTAATCTAAACTGCGCGCGTCCCGACGTTCATTCTTTTTATTCA